GCACTATATAAATAAAATATCCATTGGACAGTCCTGCCCGCAGTCCAGACCTTTCACCAAGTCAAAACATTTTGTGCATCATGCAAAGAAAAGTCCTTGAAAGAGTCAAGAGTGTTAAGAAGATAGAATCTTATACTATGTCTGACAAAAATGGGACAACATTCTGCTCCCAAAAGTCCAATAACTGGTATTTTATCTAGATTTATGGACTTTAAAGAGGGGACACTATACAGTGGTAAACATGGCCCTGTCTCAGCATTTGAGTTGCTGTAATCAAGTTCAATTAATGGATCAAATGCACTGAAAAGGCTGTTTTGTTGGGATCAATAGAGGACAATTACTGTTGTTTTTTTTTTACATTTGCCCTGCCCTCTTCTAGGGCAGGGCAAATGTAAAAAACAACAGTAATAGAACAGCAAGCATCTCGAGAAACCAGAGGACGAAGATGCTCATTAATCTCTGAAAGCCATGATGATAGCAGGTTTCTTCTTTCTGATCTTCTTTACAGGTAAGCTGATAATTCCATCTAGCTTCATAGAGCTGACTTATGGTGCTTTTAAAATGTAAGTAATCAACACTTTATTTTAACTTCATAAAAGTAAGTAGTAAGTATGTAGTTCAGTATAAAGACTGTTTTCCTCTGAAACCAGCCATTTACCACCAAAGGACAGAAATATCCTGTTGATAAATTACACATTTTTCCGGCTCCTACTAAAACCAGATTTTTCAAAAAGAATATTAATGGATCAGGGCTTTTAAACACATTAATAAAAACAAAATGCATTTGTGGGAGGAAGACAAAACAAAAAGCAAGATATTTGATTAAAAATTCAAACATGTGACAAGAACGTAACAAGAAAAAGCACAGAATAATGGCATGGAAACACATAGGGACTTACTAGATGCTACCAACTGAGTGGAAGAACAAGACTATTTACACACAGAGTAATCAGTAAGTGAGCAGGAGGTAAACAATACACAGCTGAAATCAACAGACAATGGCAGGGGAGGAAATATAACTCCATGTAAGACACCGGGGACAAATAATTATTAAAAGGTCTTTTCAAAAGGTTGTAAACAACCAAGACTAAATAAAGTTTATCTTAACCATGCTGTTTAAAACAAGAGGTAGTGTACACTTGGGAACAAAGCAGACATGGAGACAATTAAAGCAGGGCAGACATTCACGGAAGAAAGTGTGAAAAGGTTTGTTTTGTCTTTGTTAATCTGTCTTTGTCACTGTAATGCTGGGGTTTGTCGATCACTTTAAAAATGGATGGTGTGGAGGAGGGGTTGTTTAATTGAGGTGCACAAGTGGTTCACCAAACTGACAGGCTGAAGTTAACTCTGTTCCCTCTAAATGTGCTTTTTGTTCAACGATTTAGCTGTACAGACCAAAAGTGGAATCAGCTGTCAAAGTATATCTCTACAAGATGTGATCAGTACTATTATAAGCAATTTTAAGATATTACTTAACCACCATTTATATCAGGATTAAGTCTTTTCCTAGTTATACCCAACCAGTTTATAACATAATAGGTTGCTACATGTAACTACACAACCACCTTAAAACTCTACAGTTTCTTTGTCTCCAGCTTTGTCTTTTTCTCCTCATATACCAGCACTGATTTAGAGCTTTTGTCTAAATGACAACAAAGTCATTCAGGACTAGGGATGCACCGATACCGATACCGGTATCGGCTATCGGCCTCGATACCACATTTTCTAAAGTACTCATACTCGTTAAAAGTCCCCCGGTACCGGGGACCAATACCACGGTCTGAGACCTGTCTATGTTTGAGTAAGAAACAGTATATATGTCATAAAGACAATACATGTATATGAGAAACTTGTTTGTCACACACATATATTTCAGATCATCAAGCAAATACAACATTAACATTACACAACAATAACCAGAGTAACTACAAAATGCAGTTTTTAAA